CAGAAATGCCTCCAAGCACATAACTTTTCCCCTTCTCTGGCTTTTTTCTTCTCCCTGGCTTTTTTCTTTTCTGTGCTTCCTGTTCAGCTCCTTCTCATTTCTAAAGCTTCAGTTCAAAAGTCACCTTTCCAGCCATCCTCTCTGATCATGCAGTGGAACCTCTCTGTTCATGCTCCTTTGCTCAGTACCCATGCTGCTCTGGCCTCCATTCATTTCTTTATTTGCATATAGCTCTGTCTTATAGCATTTGTTTATCGACTGCCTATTTGGTCATTTTCTGAGTCCCTTGCTTAAAATATGAGGTGTTTTTTTGAAGGCAGGAATGTACCTATTTTATTTACTTCCAGTCTCCAGCCTCTGCATGCCTCTCTTCCGATGCAGATCTCATCAGTTTTTCCTGCTACAACTTAAATACTATGAACTGAAGGCCCTCTCCTCTATCCAGCACTCCAAATACAAGGAGTAGGAGTTTAGAGTCTTTCCTATTCTCTCTCTCTCTCTCTCTCTCTCTCTCTCTCTTGCTAACCGTATGATCCTGGGTGAACAGCTTTAACAACTCTTTGCCTCTCTTTCTTCATCTAAAAATGGGAAGAACAGAGAGGCAGAAAATGGATACAACTGCTGTCAAGAACAAGATCAAACCAGACTTCTATGTGGGACACTTGGAAGAACCAGGAATATAGTAAGTGCTAACTTTTTATTATTATTCTTATTTCCTTCCATGTGAGCACTTACTCCAAATTTTATCTTTTATTTTAAAATTTTAGTTGTGTTTGTTGTTGATGGGTTTTTTTGGGGGGGCAGGTCACATAATGTTTGGTATAGTATGTTTACGTATTAATCAGTTCAATATAAAGTCACCTGATTGAATGTCATAAAGGAAATAGTAAAGAGAGATAATAAAGAAGGACAACCAAATAGGTCAGTTATTATTGATTAATTAAAAAGTTAATCCTTGTAGTTTTAAAACATTGATAAACAAGCCCAGTGCTGAAAATTCTATGATTTTGCCAGTAAATTCAACTTATATTTCTACTTATTCTCAGAGACTGCCTGCTTTCAAGTGAACAGAGTTCAAGCTTGTCACAATTTTGGTAATTTTTCTTTCCTCTCAGGAATATTTTATCACTATTGGCTGGAAAGCAACTGAAATATTGTCTTGTATTTGACTTTACCTAAATGATAATTCACTGATCTATTGGATTGTTGCCCAGACAACTGAATAAAATCAAGAAAAATACTAATCTAAGTAATACTCATTTCCATCTTATAGAAACATAAGTGATTATGCAGGTGGAATAAAATACTAGGTAGAAAAAGAGCAAACTCTGCTTGTGCATATTTGTTAAATTTAAGAAGAGCCATGTCATTGGCTCACCCTCCAATCCTATAGGATTCCAACAAGTTAAACTTCTCCAACTGCCAAGTTAATAGTGTTGATGTAATGTTTGTCCCTGGACAGCTGAGCTCAGCAACTCAGGTTCCATTTTTCTTTCCAAAGGATAGCTAAAGAAACATTCCTTGGGCACATGTAATACATTTGCTACATTTCAAGAAATTTGGTTCACATTTTCCTCTATACAGTGTTTCTTGAGCCATTATTTCTACAGATTTTATTTGCTTGGATCCAGGTATAAATTTATTAAAAAGAACAATATTTAAAATAACTCAAAATGATACAAAGCAGGTTCATGAATCCAATGATGAAGGAAAAGAGATTTTTCATCCCATAGGTGTGCATATTTTAGTCTACCCTTCAAGTGTCATTCTATTCTATCCATTTTCAAAGCGGTGGGTAACTATTACTGCTGCTGATCCCTTGTTCACTCCCTCTTCTTCCTGTCCTTTCTTTTGGTGACACTGCTTCTTTCCTTTCTCCTTTTCCTTCTCCTTCTTCTCCTCCTTCTCCTTCTCCTCCTTCTCCTTCTTATTCTTCAAACTGTTGAAAAATCATTTCTAATTGACCCAGAGGACAAGTCTATTCCAAGTCCATTTCTTAAAAAACGAAGCCCTGTATGCATCACTCTGTGCTCATGATATACTGTGGACATACCAAATGGTTCAAGACTAAGGATTTATCTCAGTGGTGTCACTCCCTGCCTCACAAGCACAAGGTCCTGAGTTTGATCCCCAGGACAAACAAACAAAAAAACCTGAAAGTGCACCAAATGGTTCAAATTAGTCATTATTTTAAATATCTTCAAAGTATTGTACAGTATGATTATAATTTTTCAACTGTTGTTTTCAGCTTTGCTTTCCACCAACATGATGGAAGTTAGTATTTTTTTGTGTGTGAATTTACATATGGAGATTTTTGTTCCAAGGGGTTAAATTTGAATATAAGATTCATGAGTCCAAGATATATCAGTATTTATATAGTTCTCCAAACAGGTCTTTATTAATATTTTTCTTTAGAGAGGTAATAGAAATAGTGCCATAGTGTATACCTTAATGATTCTGTCAGTTTAGATTTTTCTGATAGAAAATTATTCTTGATATTCAAGAGCAACAAACAATGCCTTTTTTACTTAGAAAATTTCAACTGAGAAATGATATATGCCCCAAATCATAATTCTTTTCCATTGTTACTGTATTATTTCAAAGATAACTTATTGTATTTTTTAGGTGCTTTTGATTGCTTTTTCTAAAATTTATAACAATACCATGTGAGATTCATCTACAGTACAAATTACCATAATTGCACATTTAGTTGTATCTGGTAACATCAAAGCACTAGCAATATGTTTGGTAGAACAAAGCATTGTTAGTCACATTCCTATTTATACTGCTTTCATTTGTTCTTCAAATTTTATAATAATCCAATTCTATCAACTTCTCTGATTATTTTCAAATATATGCTGTTACTATGCTGAGACAGACTTTTCTTGGTTTAGTGTTACAGTAAGTCTGCTTTATGAAATAAGTTTTTGTTTTTTTTTTTTAATTCTGAACCAATGACTTACTGGTTAGTCTCTCAAGCAAGGTTGTTTGGTACAGACATAAAATGTGTCTAGTTGATGCAATAATATTTTAATAAAACAAAACAAAATGAAACATGGGGATCTAGAGAAGACCATTCCTTTTTCATTCATTGACTATCGATGTTAGTATTTCATATAATTCTTCAACAACTGATGTAAAAGTGTTTACAGGTGGGAGTCCAAGGCTCAGAGACATAGAGCGACTTGTTCAAAGTATCACAGAAAGCAAGTAGGAAAGTCCATATTTTACCCCATTTATGTCTGATTTTGAGGTCGGTACTCTAAATACTGGCATATCTAATTCTCTACTTGACTCATTGACTGTAACCCAGTTTTGCTCCAAACATTCTTGAATATAAATTACACACCAATTTGAATCACCAGTCAGTAATGATACAGACGTGAAGCTAAGTTCCTTTGGCTATAGTACTTCTACACAACTGGAATAAATCTGGTCTGATCTTAGAGAGGAAGGGGTTATCTCAGGTCCTGCTAAACTGGCGCCTCTTCAGCAGTTGACATTTGTCCTAGAAACTCTGATGGTTGGTGGCAAGATTACATGAAACATTTTTCAGCCTAAACTTCATTTTCCCATTATGGAAGATATTTATATGTAATGTATTAAAGCTATTCAGTAAAAACTAAACACTACAGGACCTGGTGGATGAACAAACATTTTTCTTCTCTTTGGTTTCTTGAACTCTGTGGTTTATTTGGGAAGCTAACACCATTTTTCCTTTGAGTTTTCCAAAAGGAATACTGGAAAATACCTTGCTTAATGAGCTGTTTATGAAATACAATCCTCATTGCATTAAATTAATATTGCTCTTAAATGAGCATTGATGATTCTAGAAATTTTTCAGCAGGAGAATATTTAGGCGAGATTCCCATCATCTTCAGAGGTAATTCCTTTTTTCTATGGTCTGTCATGAAGTACACACCCTTTTGTAGTATAATATGTAAAACTGTAGAGGGTTGTAGGTTTTCTCCTCTCTGAACTTGATGGCACACTGTAGTGTCAGCATGGAATTTTTAAATGGACTGATACGATTTATTCCTTTTTTTGGCCCTAGGTATTTTTAAAGCACAGAAACATGTGAAAACACAGCCTTGCTGTTGTTAAATTCATATGGGAAGAGGCCTAACTTGGAGAAGTTTCAGATGAAAATTTACTGGGAGCTTATGGATGGGCTTGGGGGAGGTGCTTTGAAAATGGCTAGAGAATCTTTTTCTCTATTCTACTGCCATTCTCCCCCATTCCTGGGGAGGAAATAAAACACACTCAGAGCCTGTAGCTCTCGCACTTTGAGGTTACGGGCTAACCACTACCTGCTGGCTTCTCCGCCAACGTGGCACACAGCCGGTGCCTGGCAAGATAAGTTCCTCAGCCACCAAGCCCAGGCACCTGAAGCACTGGCTCCATACTACAATACGTGCGTAAAGAAGGACGGGAAGTGGCAGAAACCCAGACGCGACAGGATCTGGGAGGAAGGGAATCCGCTGAAAGCAAAGATGCGCCGCCAGTGGCTTCTCCGTGCGAAGGTGCCCACGGAGCGCGTCACTTGCAAAGATAGTTGATGCCCTGCGAAAGGCATTCCCGCACCTGCGCGCACGCAGAGGAACCCGAGCGCACCACACACCCTGAATTTCCCCAACGAAGCACACAGCAACCTCCTTGTGCCTATAGCCGCCATCTAGGAGCGCTTTCTGCTAAGCAGATCAACTCTCCCCCACTTCTTTTTCCCGTGTTCCAAGTTTCCGAACCTGGGAGGGGTGACTCTGGGCTGCGCGAAGGACTCCAGGCTTCCCAGGGATGCCCTGGGACCCAAGGGTACCACAGACGCGCCCGCGCTTCTCGGGCGTCTCACGCGCCTTCCCAGCGCCCAGGGAGGACAAAGGGGTGGGAGAGGAGCCAAGAAACGGCGGGCTGCGGGTGGATGAGCTCTCAGGCTGCTTCCAAGTGCCACGGGGAACAACACCGGGGTCCCGCGTGCCCTCCCTCTCCCGGGGCATTCTCACCATTTGTAGCCTCTGCCACGCTTGAACTTGAGGGTGAGCGCAGTCTCCAGGACGAGCAAGAGGTTGAGCACTGCGAGCAACCAGTACCGCGACTCCTTCATCACCACGGTCACTCGCCAGACCCCGGCCAGCGAGTGCAGAAGGAAAAGCAGCCGGGTGACCAGGGCATTGAAGAGGACCAGACCCTCCATGCCTGCCCCCTGTGGCCTCGCCTGTCAGCAGCACCCTGAGCCCCCTCGAGGGCGGGACCCTGACAGCGGTGAGACCCGAGACTGCGGCAGTCACTGCCAGCCCGACAGCGCCCGACGCCGGTAGGACGGGAGAGGCGGGCTCGCCCCTCCCCCAAACTTCCTGAGTACTCTAAAGAGGGGAGAATCCAAACCCGGCTTTTCCAGACTGCTGGGCTCTTCTGGGCTTCTGGAGCTGTGCCTCCCTGGCTCCTGGGGGCTGCCTACCCCCTCCCACTCCCTCGGGCTCTCTCCATCACGGTGCACTGTCTCCTCCCTCAGACCCCCACGGGCGCTCCAGAAATGCCCCACTCCAAGCCGCGAAGAGGTGGGAGGTGGACTGAGGTCCAGGTGCTGCAGCCGGGAAAGGGGGAGGGCGGGACAGCCCCCCTGTGGCACCGCCTCCTTACTTTTCCACCCAGTACTTTCTCTGATCCGCTCCCACGGTTCTTCGCAGGATTCGAAGCTGGGCGCAAAGGAGCCAAGGAATCCGCTGTCCAAGCAGTTTTAGAAAAGCAGTTCCTCCCCAGTTTGAAGAATTGAAACTTCCCAGGATTTGAGAGAGCCAGAGGAGCTGGGCTTTCCCCATTCCCTTGCTGTCCCACGTGAGGAATGGGCAGCGTGGTCACTCTTAGTCTTCCCTCACCGTATTATTAAAACAGGGGTGTTTTTATTGCACTACTCTCCCCCCTCCCCCAGGCCAGATGAGGGTATCAAGACACAGGACAGAGGGGGAAGTGAAGGAGGAGACAGAAGTTAAATTCATGAATATAATTAGACGGTGACATTCATGGATAAGGACCCACACCCGTGAGATCAATGATCCATGAGTTTAACGCTGGTCTTTCCAGCTCTAAAGTACCAGAAGATTTAAGTCAGAATTTCCCAAATCATCCTCATTATCTTTGTTTCCTTGTTTGGTGTCCTATACCAACCAGCTCTACTACAGTGTACCTAACATTTTTCTCTAAAGGAACTCAATTTTTTACTGAATAAATTTACTTTTAAAAGAATGTTTCTATCATTTGTAAATGCAAAGCCCATATAGTGGCTTTTATTACAAAAGTAATAAAAATAAAATGAACTTTCACTAGCTATTATCACATCCAAAGCTCTGGACCTCAGAATACATCCCCACTTTTTTTTTTTTTTTTTTTTTGCTACACAGGGAATTAAAAAAATGACAGTCATATTACTACCAATAGGAATCTCTTGCCCATATTAGTAATAGTGACAGGAGATTGTAAAGGGAGTGTCTTCCCTTTTTAGGTCTGTTTGACTTCTAGAAATCAAGCTGAAAATCTGAGTTATATGGTTATCTCCGTTAGGTGAAAGAGAAATCTAACCACTTCGAAAGAACTTAGAAGTTGTTTTTGGTACTGAGACCCAGGAGGATTTATTTATTTGTATTTCTTGGACAGAGTCTGCATTCTCCCACATATTAGAGGAAACCCAGCAATCACTTCCAGAGAAGTTTATTATAGTACCTTTGAATGTAGGCCGAGGGCACAGTGATCACACACCATTCTATGCAGCCAAAGAGCAGAGCCTGGCAGACAAAGGAACTGAAGGCAGCATCACTCGGTAGTCAGAGCCCCAGTGTCCGACAACTGGCATCCTGGGAGTGCTAACAGTTCCATAACTAGCTGAATCTATGGCTTTTATACCCATGTTACGTCTGTAAATTGAGCACTAATCCTTTCTACTCATAGGGTCACTGGAGTATCCAATGGTTAATCCACATAAAGTATCTCATAAAGAGCATTTGGTAGACATTGGTGATCATTGCTAGGCCCAAGTAGTCAGTCCAAGGAGCAGCTGTTTTCCTTGATGATCCCAAAGAAGGAAAACTAGGCGTTGGAGCCACAGAATGTGATATTCCTGAGGCCTGTCAAACTCTCCACCCTAACATCAGAAGCACAGTTTGGATTTACTACTTTCTAAAGGAGTAGGACACAGGGACATGGAGAACCATAGGGCATCCCAGTAAGAGGGTGTTATTAAAAAGTGTCAGCAGTTATTTGCAAGAAAACATTTGGGCTTTGACTAGGTAATCTTCAGGCTCAAAAGAGTGGGACTTTAGATTGGATGCTATCAAAAAGTGGTAAACATTTTATGACTGGGTGTTTTGATTAATTTAGATAGAGAAATGTTTGATCTCTTTTGCATCTTCTACCATATTCATGTTTTGACTGTTTTAAAACATCATTATGAAGCAGTCTTATTTGTGGATTTATCTGTCATAAACATAGATTTGACCCAGCCTTGGGTTGAGAGACATATTTATGTTCGAGAAGAGGTCACCAAGTCCTGATGGATGGTGCTGAACTAATTTCCTACTGTCAGGATTTGATCTTCCCCATGCCCATTAGGATGGGCTTCCTAAAAGAAGTTGAGAAGTCTATCTGACATCTTCTAGACATCGTTGTTTTTCTATATTTTGAATGTCTAGATGCAAAATATGTTGTCTTTTCAGAGTCAGAAAACTAAAGCTATTGTTAAAGAGAATTTAAAGGTTATTTCTTTTTAATTTTCTACTAAGCCCATTTAAAAAGACTGGAGGCTTTGAGAAATATCTTGAGACTTCCAACCTAATAGCTCAATAATCTTTTAAAAGGAAGGACGAAATTAAGCAATTAAGGAAAGTCTACTCTTGTTGAAAAAGCAATCTCAGTCACATGCCACCAGTTCCTGTGGTACAGGCTGGTTTCTAAAGCAGAACTGGCTCATCCTACTATCTCAGAGGCTGTCAGTCAGCAGACCTCTCTCCCCTTCTGAATACAAAGTGAACATGCATTACCAGGCTTCTCTGAATTGGAGTGATTTGGGTCTAAAGGAGACTTTCTCAAGCTAGCACAAATCAAAGTAGTAGATACTGGAAGGGAATATTTGATCTAAAAATGAATATGGAATCCCTTAGAATCATGAGCAGTAGTATAATAAAGGCACCACAGTCAACTGGAGCTCTAGGCTTGTGTACTCAGTGGCACCAGGGATTTCCTATTTGTGGTTCATGGCTTTTTGCAAAGCAACTCTCTGACACTGTTAGCCTCCAGTTAAATTTCTCCAAACACAGTTTAAATTTCAGAGAAATTAATGTTAGATACCAGGTCACATCATGAGCCACTGCCCAGGCTGTGTGGATGGACTGCAGTACAGTCCTGGACTATCCCCCAAGAAAAGACCAGTCTAGAGTTGCTTTCTCCAAGCATCAACATGGGATTCTGATCAGAGGAATTTGAGGAGTAGAATGAGGATAGTAGGTCTGTTGACTGACATATCCAGTACCATGCAGCCCTGACTTGATGTGCACACATCCTCTACCCGGATTTATGCCTTCTAAACACCAGCATGCAATTGTGCATGTACCTTACAACAGGGATACAGGGATACGATGCAAAGTCACACCCGCATCCAGAGGGCAGGAAAGCTATAGAGTGTTCCAGAAGCCACAATCTCCAGGTGATAATCAATCCTCTTAGATCTATTTTGATCCTTTTCAGACATCACTATTCTGTGTGTGAATGTGTACATGTGTGTACATGTATGTGTATATGCATGAATTTGTGTATACATTTGTATAATAAAATGCATGGAGAAATCCATCACTACAGGAAGGTACAGATCTAGTCCTTACAGGAATTTTCACAATTATTCACCTTCCATTTTTGTTTTTTCTGCTGGTTACAACTATAAATTTAAAAATGTATTTTACATTTCTCTACTTCTTGATTTACCAACTCATAGAACTTGAAATCTCAGTTTGAAATGTAGGGTATCTAATAATTCTATATTTTATTCTCACCTCTATTAATCGCATTGTCTACCATAATATTCTATTCTCTGGCTATAATTACAAACTTCTTTAATTGGTTGATTCTAAACACTGAAGATGAACAAATGACTTAAATATATAATTATTATCCATTGTGTTTTTAGCTTGTGTTTTCCTCTGAATTTAGGAAACATTTCTCCATTATTTCCTAGAATCCAGAACTATTAATAAAACTCTGAAACTTATATATATCTCATTGTTTCCTCATCAATAAGTATTATTTAGTGCATGGAATATTATTTTCTTTATCATAGAATGCTTATGATTTGACTATGCCTAGGTATCAGACTTTACATATACCCTCCCTAGCGTAATAGTCTTGTGTTTGTATGTAATTGAGTCAAATCTTCTTTTCTTGGTTCTTTGATAATTTCTTCTATTTTATTTCTGTACTCTCCTTCTGGAATGCTTTTTCATTTTTGTCTGTATCGCCTATGTGCCTTAATCTTCCAGATGTCCAGATTAATCTTCAGATTCCGTTATTGTTGATAACCATCAATTTGTTTTTATTTTTGTTTTTGCAACAAGCCCTAATAATGGATATCCTAGATTTTTAGGAGTAGCTAATTCATATTTGGTAGATACACAAACCTTTTAAATTATCTTGAAGCATATTATTTATAGCTTTTTAATTTTGTCTTCCTGAATTGTTTTCATTTTGTTGCTTAGTTTATTCAAATGTATCCTTGATTCTCTGAGTTTATAATCTAGTGATCCTCAAGTAATCTGGAGATTCATTATTGTCCATTCACTCTTGCAAATCAAGAACTACATTGACTATAAGATTTATTTGACATGGCTGTTCTAGGTTGTTGTTTGTCTGGTGAGCAGGTTGTGGTCTTGGAGTACCGGACATGGAACACTAGTCAAATCAGATTCCCCACAGAACCCAATAAAAGGAGGAGCAGGCAGGGGTGTTGAAGTAAAAAGGTTCCGACAAGGGTGGGTGTTCAGTGCACCTCATTCAGTCCCTGGTAGTCCTGTGTTGACTTAGTTCCTCTGCCTCACTCCCTGGCTCAGCTGCTGTGAATATTCTTATCTACCCATAGAGTGGTGCTCTGATTTTTAGTATACTCTTAATAGAAGCTTCTTCCCTACTCCTTTCTCTAAGGGCTTATTTTTAGGAGAAATATTATTTGTAATGATCTCT